GCGAAGGGAGGGGTATTTCCCTTTGCCGGCCTGTTTGGAAAGTGAATAAAGAGACGCAAACTGCAGCAGTTACCAGATTGCTTCAGCAGACAGAGAGTCCCAGACGAGCCGTTCTGAAGGGGAAGGGAGCTTGCACTCATATGAACAAACAGCCAAGGTTGTTCCCACAGTTGGGGAGAGAGATGAAAAAGACAGACTTTTCCCCAGCCTGCTGTCCGCCCTCCCTCCCTCATCATAACAGCCTGAACCTGAACTGCCATGCATCTGAACCGACTAGGGCGTTTACAATGCGAGGAGGCAAAATGCTGCCCTGCATTTTATAGGCAGCCTTTAAGTAATTGCCTTAGTGCCCTCCTACATATTGGCCCACGGGAGTCATTAATGGTACAGGAAGCCCTGAGGAAGCAGGGAAACACCACCTAGGAAGGCACTGAGGTCATAATTTGTACAGAGCTTTTTCACATTCTTTCCCACCTGCCACAGATCAAAGGCCCCAGGGGCAAATTGACTATTTTTTTTTTCCTTTTGCGTTTTACTGCCATATGCCAAAGGCTGCATGGCTCCAGTGAAAACTGAAGCTCTATTAATAATTCACTGGTATCAGTAAAATCAACAGGGCAGCAGAGTCAAGGGAACAGAAAGAGGGCTTGAAAGACAGGCAAAGAAAGCATGAAGGGGTCAGCAGCATTGTCAGTGCCTATGATTTCATAGCAGCTCGCAAGATACTTCATGTTTCACGTTAAGCCCCAGGTCCTGGAGACAAATGATTAAAGGGGAATCTGAGCTCTTGTTTTAAAAAAAAAAGTGTTTCTAGCCCTGATGGTTGCAGAGGAGAGCTTGAAACTGTGTCCGGAGTGCCACCTAAAGGCAAAACCAAGAAGGCAAAGAAAAAGAACCCGAAATACATTTTTTCCAAAAGAAATCTCATGCTTTTTAAGCCACTCTCCTGATGTTTCAGGGCCTGACTCATGATTTAGTAATGTTCGGGGTTGGCAGCATTGGCACAGTGTCCAGTTGATTTAGATACAGACCGGGGATTTTCACATTGCTGTGAAAATAGGTCTTGATTTTACTCCGAAATACTAAGGGAAAGTGTTGTTGGACTTGAATGTGGCAGCAGGGTGGTAATGTAGGAGAAGGAAGAAGTGAAACTGACTCGAAACAAATGAGAAACTGACCAATCCAGTCTCACTCTCCATGGTCAGTGTAAGATAAACAGTAAAACAACAGAGTCAGGGAAAAGTAAATTATTAGAATTTGATCATTCTATCTGTGTATGTGTGTGTGTGTGTTATTCGTAACAGATACTGTAGGGACATTATCTATAATAATACCTAGCTGTTGTCTAGCACCGTCCATGAATGGATCTGAAAGCACTTTACAATGAGGTCAGATCCTCAGCTGGTGCAGACTGGCATAACTCTGTTGACTTCAGTGAACCTACACTGATTTGCAGCAGCTGAGGATCTGGGCCCCGAGTTTTCTCTCTCTAGTGCTCCTTTACATTAGATGGCAAATGCTTAAAACATTCATTACACAAGGTCAGCTGTGCTAGCTTTACGTTTTTATCCAGAAGTGAGCTGTTGCTCATGAAAGCTTATGCTCAAATAAACTTGTTAGTTTCTAAGGTGCCACAAGTACTCCTGTTCTTTTTGCGGATACAGACTAACACGGCTGCTACTCTGAAACTCCCTAAAGAGTAGTTTAGGATTGTTGTCAAATACAGTACTTTCACTGAGAGAAGGAAAGGCAGAGAGAAAAGGAAGTTATGGTTTTCTAGATTTCTGAAAAATTAATATTAGGCATTAACTTAATCGATGCAAGGTTTGCTAGCTCTACCTACTGGCTAGAAGGTGAACTACACTACCCTGACTCCCAGAGGTCATTAAAGCATGAATTACAAACCTGTTTCACAAGAAAGTGTTTTAAGCGTAATAGAAGAAACCTAAAGTAAATCTCCATCCAACCATTTTCTAGCTGCAAAACTACGTCCACAGAAGCAGACCTTATGTCCAGAACTGTGGAAACTAACAACATCTTGCTATATATTAGCTCACCTTGTCAGCAACCAAATGACATGAAATATTAGCCACAAGACTGATTCTACTGTGGAAGTTTTGTCTATGTAAAGATTAAGGATTCAGAGCACAATAAACTCCATTACTAGATCATGAGAATCTTATTCAGACACGCGGAAAAGGAGCATAAATCCACTGGCTTTGAGGAAGTTGTTGGTCACTGAATTTTGATGTTCTGATAGAGAAAAGCGATTACAATGTATAAAGAAGTTTGTTTTAGGTTTACCTAGTTAATTTTCATTTGGATCATAAGCAGGGGTAAAGAGTATGGATCTTTACATTGTAGTTCCACAGCCAACTCAGGGCTCCTTCTTGCTCTCCCCGGCTTCTGGCAGCACATCCAAGCTCCCTCAGCCAGCCACACACCACCCTCACTCCTTCAGCTCTAGCAAGGAACTGAACTTATTCTGGCCCTGCAGCTCGTCTTCTATTGACCTGGTGGACCCTGATTGGCTGCTTCCCATACAGCTGCTCTAGGCAGTTTGGAGGACCTCTCTACTGCCCTTTTCTGGGGTGGGGTATGGCAGGGCCACAAGGCCTTCAGAAGGGGACCTCAGGGCCTAGTCCACCCTGTCATACCAGTTCACTCTCCCAAAGTTATTTTGACTCTGCAGAGCAAACAGCACTGAAAAGTAGTAAAAATGTATTCTGTCACTATGTTAAGTAGATGACACTGAACACACACAAGGGGCAGCTCTCTGGAGTAACCAGAGGCCATTTTCACACAGTCACTTTTCAACCACATACAAGGTTGAAGGTAGTGGTTTTTCAAAAGCACTCAGTATTCGCCTAACTCTGTTCCCAGTGAAATCAACGTTGCAGAGTTGGCCAATCCTGAGTGCTTTTGTCAGGGGGTAGCAGTGTTAGTCTGTATCCACAAAAACAACAAGGAATCTGGTGGCATCTTAAAGACTAACAGATTTATTTGGTCATAAGCTTTTGGGGATAAAAACTCCACTTTTTAGTCTTTAAGGTGCCACCAGACTCCTCGTTGTTTCTGAGTGCTTTTGAAAATCCCACACCAAATATTCAGGAGGTATTGCGTTGTCATATTGATTCCCCAACCACCGAATTGGATGGATTTTCATTCCCTTTTTCTGTGAACAATTTGATCCTGCCATTTTGCTCATCCAAAATGAATTGGGGTCGCAAATCTGAGCATTAGCCCCTCTGAGCACATGGTTTGCACCAGTCATTGGGCACCTAGACATGCAAATCCCTAGCTTTGAGTTCATGGTTCATATTCTCTGTGGAAATAGGATTGAAGTTTGTAGATATGCAGTCCCAGGAATCACTTCCTATGCAAATCAACCACCAACAGCAAGTGATCAGAGCAAAGCGAGTGAAAATCACCTGTATAAAGAGGGTCAGAGAAGGCCTTTACACCCACTATTCTGAGGGCTTTGACATGACTAAAACAATACATAGGCCTTGTGTCAGCCTTCTGAAGAGGGGTGAATTTTACCCTGAAATCCTATTGTTGAAAGAAATCCCTCTGGGGGTTTGTAAGGAAAAAAATTGATGCTGGGCTTTGTAGCTATGCAGTGGAGATGCTGTGATGTCTTAAGAAAAGAGGTCACTTCTTTAATATATATGCAAGTCCTACAGTGATGGATGGGATGTCATATACACTCAACTGGGCAGGTAGATGGAATTGACTCAGTAGGTCATTGGCACCTCTCAAGAATGCTTAAGGACCATGTTGATAGGAAGTGAAAATCCCTTCTGAAAGCAACTTCCTACAAACACTCAGGCCTGGTCTGCACTAGGAAATTTGGTCGGTACAGCTACGTCATGCACGGGTGTGAAAAAAACACCCCCTCACCCGCCCTGAGCGACAGAGCTGAAGCGACCTTATCCCCCATGTGCGTGGCATTAGGTCGATGGGAGAATTCTCCCGTCAACCTGGCTACTGCCTCTCCAGGAGGTGGATTCCCTATGCCCGCAGGAGAAGACCTCCCATCAGTGTAGGTAGTGTCTTCTCTTAAGTCGTGGTGCTGCTGCAGCATTTTAAGCGTAGACAAGTCCTGAGTGGTTTCACAATTACCTAAGGCAGGAATAACAATAATAATAAATATTTATATTGTAGTAGCCCCTAAAGGCTCCCCCTGAGACCAGGATCTCATTGTGCTAGGCACTGAACAAACACATACTAAGGGACAGTCCCCGCTCTGAAGAGCTTACAAGTTAAGGAAACAAGACAGACAAAGGATGGGGAAAAGGAAGGCTCTTAGCATGGGATTCTAGACAGAGTATCTACACTCTGAGGGTGTGTCTAAGGACTCCCCAGCCGGAGCAATCCCCGAACTCTGTTCAAACTCCGGAGACTTAAAATACCTGGGGACCCAACAGTCTCTTTGCAGAAGTCTAGTAAGCCACTAGAAAGGGGAACCTGACCCAGTGTGACACTCCAGATGGGGAACTGAGGCACAGAGAGATTATATGACTTGCCCAAGGTCACGCTGGAACTCTGTAAAGCACCAGGAACACAACCCAGATCTCCTGAGTCCTATTCTAGCGTCTTAACCACAAGACCATTCTTCCTCTCTAACCTCATTAATTGCATCCGGCTGCAACTTCACGCATGCTACATTAGCTTGCAGCAATTTATCAATGAATGGCGCTGTCATTACCGTTCCCATTGTGGGTGGACAAGGCTGGGACACCCCCACCCCATGCTAAACCAGAGACATTATTCGTAGGATTGCCCATTTGTGCATCCTGTTTACCCAGCAGGAAGGCATTATGCAAATGAGCCTCAAAAACCAACCCGCTTTTACATTTGCTAATGGAAAACAACTCTCTCTAAACTGTATATCCAAAACATATCCCCCCACACACATACACACTGCAGGCTTTAAATATATATATGTGTGTGTGTGTATTTATTTTATTTTCATCTGTGTTATATTTCTCCAACAGATTGGTGCCGAATGTGGAGGGAAAGGATGAAGCCACCGGAATGTACTCTAAATTAATAATGAATGTGACAGAATCCAGAGCACCCATTTTAATCAAGTTAGTATGTTTTCCATTTTCTCCCAATGTGTTTTACATTTTTGCTGCATTTGGAAGGGAGCTTTAGATATTGCAACAACATAATGTTAAATGTAAAAAATGACAATTCCAACATAGGTTGCTTTAAATAATTTATACCTTTCATAGTCTAATGGGCTGTGTAATGTACACATGGCTATGTTACAGACGTCACAAATAAATACAGAGTATTTATGCGTGATGGATGGGATTTTAAAAATTCCCGCCTGCTGCCTGGCAGACTACTCAGCCAGCTTTCCTACATGCACAGGGACCGAACTACATTGCGGGGAGCAAGTGATCACTTCTTTCTGTTGTTCCTGACATTGCACAGGGTACATGTGCAGTGGCTGAGCCGTCGTGAAGTTGCACAGTGGTACTGAAGAGTCTTGAAGATGCTTATGCTCCATCTTCTCTGCTTTTCCCAGGAGAAAACCTTTCTCCCGCTCATTTCCTTTTCTTCCTTCTCTGAGATAAAATGCCACCCTATCTCCCCTTTGCAAGCACTCGAATAGTGGAGTGGACACAGGACTATGCGCCAGGAGACTTGGGTTCTAAGCGCCCTGCTGCTGTTAACCTGCAGTGTGATATTGACTGAGACACTTTGTCTCTTTGGTTCTATTCCTGTCCTTTGTCCTGTCTATTTAGGTTGAAAGCTCTTCAGGGTAGCTTCTCTCTCTCACTAGATGTCTTTGTAGAGTACCGAGGGCAACAGAGCCCTGATCTCAGGGGCCTTCAGGGGCTACTGTAGCACAAATAATTAGTACTAATGCCTCTGCCTATCTCTCCCTTCTCCCCCGTCACAGGCATTGCTGGCCATGAATGACTAACACTAGGTGTATGAAACAATATGTATTCTGTCTTCTCAGTTTGCTGAATATTGAGAATCAATATCCATTGTCTTCTCCTTGGTCATTAATTTATCTCCCTGGTCAATAAATCTTGATACACACCTCAAGAGAAGTCAATATTTGCTTTTTCTCTTCTATCGCTGTTTACCACAAATACCACCATTATCATATCTCATGTCAGCTGTATCTGAATGCACCATATTCCTTTCTACAAGGCTTCACACCATGGTATATTTCTGTATTTTTATCCAGGTGGAACATTATTTAATAGATTTTCAAGGTCACTCAGTCTTCTTCACCATTCTGTAATGTCTATTTCCAGTACTTAAGGTGATATCTTCCCTGGTTTTTAAAAGCACAGATCTCAGAAGCTGGGACAGGACAAGAGGGAAGGGATCACTTAAAATTCCCAGTTCTGTTCATTCCCTCTGAAGCATCATGCACCGGCCACTGTCAGAGACAGGATATTGGGTTAGGTGGACCAATGGTCTGACCCGATATGGCTGTTTTATGTTCTTCTGTTAATAGGTAATGACATGAGTCCTTTCATAGCAGCAGTGCTTTGTGTGTATGTCAGCAGCTGGCTAACCCAGTTAGACTTGTCTAATCATTGGCAATAGGTATATTGATGATGTCTCCTATTATATGGATTTTTGTGTCAGTGGGTAGGTCAAAGTTCAAGGTTACCTTGATTCTCAGGATCACAGAGTAATTATGTCAATAGATGGTGCTGGGAGAAAGGACAGAGGTGAAATAAAAAGATGCTGAAAAATGTGTGTGCCCAGTGGAATTAAAGAATCAAATATCAATTGACTTTTATTATCTTTATGCAATTTTTGCAAGGATGCTTACATGTCATGGTGATGTACATGTTTTACATGCATAGATAGGAAGGATACTTAGTAACCAAGTAAAGCTGGTTCAATGGTTTGTTGCAAAAGGTTCAGAAAAGGGCAACAAAAATGATTAGGGGTATGGAATGGCTGCCGTATGAGGAGAAATTAGTAAGACTGGGACTTTTCAGCTTGGAAAAGAGGACAAAGCAGGGATATGATAGCGGTCTATAAAATCATAACTGATATGGAGAAAGTAAGTAAGGAAATATTATTTACTACGTCTCATAACATAAGTACTAAAGGCCACCAAATGAAATTAATAGGCAGCAGGTTTAAAACAAACAAAAGGAAGTATTTTTTCACACAATGCACAGTCAACCTGTGGAACTCCTTGCTAAAGGATGTTGTGAAGGCAAAGACTATAACAGTGTTCAAAAAAGAACTAGATAAATTCTTGGAGGATAGGTCCATCAATGGCTATTAGCCAGGATGGGCAGCGATGGTGTCCCTAGCCTCTGTTTGCCAGAAGCTGGGAATGGGTGACCGGGGATGGTTAATGGTTGATGGTTAACTGTTCTGTTCATTCCCTCTAGGGCACCTGGCATTGGCCACTGTCGGAAGACAGGATTCTGGGCTAGATGGATCTTTGGTCTGCCCCACTATGGTTGTTCTTATGTTCTTATGTTGTGAACAGTATGTATTATTTGTATTGTAGTAGCCTAGAGAGCCAAACTGAGATTGGATCCTATTTTGCTCAACACTGTTCATACACATACATAGCCAAAGATAGTCTGTGCCCCCAAGAACATACAAGCTAAACAGACAAAGGGTGGGAGGTCAGAGAGACACATCTAGTGTTGCCACCACAAGTCTAAGTTAATGCGTTTTATTTTGTTGTTCACAAATAGTTTGCAAATTTCTGTATATGTAGTTACTGATAGCTCTTGTCTAGGTAGTTTGAACAAACAATTTTTGGTCTATTGGGTTGTTTGCCATCAGTTCACATTCTTTAATCTTGGTGTGTGATTGGTCTTTTAAGCCATGTGGTATTGTTTTTTCTGCTGCTTGATTGGATAACTGAAACTTTCTAACTGTGTGATAACAAAGAGTGAATAATGAGTACCAAATAACTAATTATGCCCTTTTGGTACAAATTATCACTGCAATAAAATTTGTGATTCACGGGCCATCAGCAGATGCTTGTAGTTAACAAATATGATTATTATCTATTCGACATTGGTGAGGCCTCATCTGCAGTACTGTGTCCAGTTTTGGGCCCCACACTACAAGAAGGATGTGGAAAAATTGGAAAGTGTCCAGCAGAGGGCAACAAAAATTATTAGGTGACTGGAACACATGACTTACGAGGAGAGGCTGAAGGAACTGGGATTGTTTAGTCTGCAGAAGAGAAGAATGAGGGGGGATTTGATAGCTGCTTTCAACTACCTGAAAGGGGGTTCCAAAGAGGATGGATCTAGACTGTTCTCAGTGGTAGCAGCTGACAGAACGAGGAGTAATGGTCTCAAGTTGCAGTGGGGGAGGTTTAGATTGGATATTAGGAAAAAATTTTTCACTAGGAGGGTGGTGAAGCACTGGAATGCATTACCTAGGGAGGTGGTGGAATCTCCTTCCTTTGAGGTTTTTAAGGTCAGGCTTGAGAAAGCCCTGACTGGGATGATTTAGTTGGGGATTGGTCCTGCTTTGAGCAGGGGGTTGGACCTCCTGAGGTCCCTTCCAACCCTGATATTCTATGATTCCACCACTAACAGTGAACCCCCACTCAATACTTTTATGCATGAAAATATTTCCAAATCAAGAATTTACGATGAAATACTGTGAGGCAATACTCACATTCACACAAGCAGTCACAAGGAAGCTGCTGGGTTCCACAAGAGGCGTCTGGGAATATGTCAATTGAGTATGTGCCAATAGATGGCACTCACTGTGCAGCTTTGCTCATAGGCCTTGTAGGACCAATACAAATGGTGGTGGTTCTGCCCTGCAAATGGCTTCCTCTGTGCAGCTCTTAAAAGATAGGACAACTCCAGTAAGTACGTTCTAGGGATCCCCAATCGGCCACTGTTCAGGGAGAGTTATGTGAAGTAGGAATCAGATCTCCTTTTATGCTGTTGCGGATCTGGTATCTGTCTTTGTTACATTAAAACCCTGGACTAATGTTCTTTAAAAGACACACACCAACTCTGTCCTCACAAAAACACCCCTGCGCCCCCCCCCCCCCCCCAGCAAGATCTGGACAGTGCCAAATTACCCCTGGGTGTGTTAAATACTGTTGCAAAAATGTAGCCGCCCTTTGTGACTTGCAAGGTTTTTGCCGGGAAGTTTATTTCTTTTCTTTTTACTTTAAATCAATCATTCACCCACCAGAAACATCAGCCTTCAAAGCAGAAGGCAGTTACCCAGGCAAGCTGCCACTGTATCCACCCGGCCACCACGCTGATTGTGCTGATTATATACACTTTTTGGTTACATTAGCACCTGACTATGATTTATGAGGGCGGGCAGGGAGACGGTGACTGACTGACCTGCTTTCATGAAAGCAGCCTGTTTGCTGAGAAAGGGCTTCCGGCATAAATCATTTTAGACATGCTTTTACACTAGGACTAAATAAACACTCACTTAGCCCTGTACCTGTTAATATGTTAACAAGTAATGTCCTCAAACAGCCACATTATTTGATTACATCCGAGGTCAGGGATTTGTGCTGAGGCTTTCCATGCCTCCCAGAGTCTCAGGAGCCCAAAGTGATCAGCCCAGTTGAATTCAGGGAAAGAGAGAGAGTTTATCACACTGTATTATCAATCCAGCATACAGAAGAACTATAGATTTATGATCTCATAGTTAAAATACTCTAGAGTAACACATACACACACACACTCCTCTGATATATACAATGTACAGTCGTAGAGGCCCCAGCCTCGATCAGGGCCCACAGTGCTAGGTGCTGTACAAACACAGTGAGAGACGGTCACTATCTCAAAGAGCTTAAAGTCCAAATGAGTAAGATGGACAAAGAGTGGGAGAGGAAAAACAGAAGAAGTCACTTGTTCAAGGTCAGTGGCAGAGCCAGGGACAGAACCCAGATCTCGTGACTTACTGTCCTGTGTTCTAACCACTAGACTGCACTGTCCCTCCTCAATTAGGTATGTTCAATACTGTATTCAAAGAAATGTCTAGATTGCAAAGTTAAACCCTCAAAAGTTAAGAAATGCCAGCATTAGGGTAGCCAGTGTGCACTTTACTAGTCCTTCTTGTGTGTATGCCACCCACTCGCTGA